ATTTTATTAATATATGGAATATTGAATATTAATATATTGACAGTAATTTTTAAAGATACTTTGTGTTATGCACAAGTTATACCTCCAGCTTTTTTACTGTTTTCTCCAGATAATATTTTCATTTCAACAACAGGAATGCAGAGGTATACCAAAAGTCTAGTGTGTTCAGGCAATATTAACTTTGAATATTTATTTAATCCATGAGCTACGCCAGTGACATTCACAAGAGCAAATTGATTCAGATTTTGCCAATTTGCTCATGAAATAACCAACTCAAATCAAATAATGAAGTGAGACTGAGAACAACTTCTCAAAGCTTCATTCTTAATCTAATCATATTTCCAATAAAGTAGTTTATGTAGTAAGTAAAGTTCTAGTAAAACAAAAAAAGTGAGTGCTCAAGTACTTACATCACTCGCCAAGATGGCATTATTTAAGGCCAATACTGTGTTTTTATCATCTGTGACAGAGAGTTTGCATCCCTTTAGGAATTCCCGGTCCAGTTTGTATTCATACTGCAGGAAAGAAAAAAAAAAAAAAAAAAATTAAAAATAAAAGATAAGAGAGTCTCAAATCTTCTATTTTTTTTTTTATTCTGAACATGAGAGATGTGGGGAAAGGGAGTATTCAGTTTGTTCTGATTTTCTTACATCACTCTGTTGCAGAGACGATTTGGCTGCTTGAACAAAGTCAGGCCTGTCAGCAATCCAGTGCCAATGAGCCTTGGCTGCTTCATATTTCTTCTTATAATCCAGCTGTTTATAGTGAAACAACAAAAAAAAAATAATTTAATTAGAAGTTGTGTACTTTGCAGATAACATTCATACAGATGCAAATTCTCTTTTGGTCTGTACCAATTAAAGAGAGAAGAGGTAAGAAAGTGCATGTACATGAGACTAGGGCTTTCCTCTGAATCATCTACAATCCAGTGGGAGTCCATTTACTCTAGATTTTCCACTGCTAGGTGGAGAAAGGAATATGAATGACTGAAAAGCTGTTAGGACTTTGAAGAAGGTGAGTGCTTTCAGTTCCTTGCCTATTGAAGGGGATGTTGGGCCACCAAGAATGGAAAACACAGGAGAGCTTCTCATGAAGCACGTACTTTGTCTACAAGAACATCATCACAGAGAATTTCTGGGACAGCTATGTCTCTGTCAGGAAAACAGAGGGGGACTAGAAGAACAGTAGATGTGTGACATACAAGGACCTCAGGTGACCTCAAGGACAACTTGCGAGAGTGAGCACTTTAGTATGAAATAAATTAAAATACATTTTATTCAAGCAGCATAGGAATTAGAAGCAATGCCCAAGCTCAAGAAATGTCAATGGAACTGAAAATAATTTCTCATGGTCTCCATTGCCACTCCCAGACACTATGCATAATAAAATTCAAGTATTAATAAAACTGAACTCACATTGCTGTTTAGCTTGTAAGCATGCCTTGGAGTCTTAATATGAACTGAATCTGCTATGACATTGCAGTGAGATTTATTCCTCTCATACACTTCTTTGTATTTCAGCTAAAGAAAGACAAACATAAAATATGTTTACAAAGATAATATCATCATGAAGAAGAAAAGCATCAAAATATGAAAACATACTATTAAAAAATGCTCCTGTCAAAGCAAAATCTTAACAGAAGAAAAAGAAATTGTATGAATACAACTTGGTATCAACCATCTGCCTGACAGAAGGGTCCTCTTCAGCAGCAGTTCTCTTTAAATAGAAAATGTAGTATCTATAACTCACCATGAAGCACAGACTGAAATTTAAAAAAATCTACACACGAACACTAATTCTGCCTGTTTCTAGTTTTTTGCACGTAATAGAAATGCCATAAAGAAACTTATCTTCTGATAGGCACGTTCAATGCTTTCTGAAAATTCCTTTACAGAATCTCAAATTCAGCACTCAGTTTGGAACCGAAAAAATGTACTTCCATTCACAGATCCGTTGTGAACATCTTTGTCTCTTAATGATCCACGTTAGTATCTGGATAATATTTTTTTTTTAACTCCTAGATTTACTCATTATATAGATAAACCATGTAGCATCTGAATGACTTTCACACTACTTATTCTCACAGTACTACATTGAGTTACAGAAGTGCTAGTATCCTCATTTTATTTATGGATATCGAAGGAACAATCATACAAAGGTCAGAGAGAAATCCTAGGTTAGGAAGAGGAATTAGCACCAGGACTCCCAAATCCTATGATATTATGCTATCCACTTCATCTTCCTTTCTCCCTCTTCTTTTTAGCCTTCCATTGCTCCATAATCAAAACACATTTATTTTAGATCAGAATACTTACCTTACATATTCACAATATCCATAGAAGAAATTAATAAACACAGTAAGGTATTAAGTACCTTATTCACGGCTCCACAAAAGCCAGTAGCCAATAGAGGAAGAAAACCCAGAAACAAACTCCCCAAATTCATCCCTTAATTAGACATCAGTTCCAGCTCATGGCTTTTATTACTGGTGAGGGCTGCTCTGCCCCGGCAAAAATGTTCCAAGAGCTACAGAAGAACGTTACACAAAAAAACTTCCTGAATACTTTCATACTCTATTGTGTTTTTTGAAAAAGCATTAAGTACATATGGAGTTTTACATGTAAACAAAACCAATACACTCTAACAAGAAGCTACTTTTCAATGACAGTGTTACGTATGAGCTAAAAGTATTGCATATCAAAGTTAGAAGTTAATTAGGTGTCTTTTTGATACCACAGACAAGGATAATTTACTTACATCGCTTATTCTGTCCTTGACCTTGCGCACATGCAATAACATAGGTGTATCATGGATTGTAGTATAGCCTTTAGGCTTCGCCTTGTTATATTCCAATTTGTAAATAATCTGAAGATAAAAATTACAGGTTATATTATTTCTTGACGTTATTGGTGTCAATTGAAAAAAGTCAAGATGAGAAACAGTGTGTAATGGACTACTGAAAACGCCATATTCTTAATTATCACACTTCAAAGGTCAGAATTCCGAGAAGGAGGTATGCTTCAAAGGGACTGACCACACTTACATCACTAATCTGTTTGTTGACTTTTGTAGTCCTTAAGTGTTCTGGAGTATCCACAACAGTGGTATACTTGTCTTTCTTCTTTTCATAGTCCTTTTTGTATTCAACCTGGTGATTGGGAAAGAGCGTATGTTAACCACACAAACCAAGACAAAACATCTTCAGCAGATATGTTTATATTCACACACAAAATTGCAAAATTCTTCCATGAAGGAAGGATGAAAGCCAATGAAAGTTGAACATGCCCAATGAACTAAACTTTGCAAACCCCTTATTTGCCTAAGAGGCTGCCTATCTATCTGTGTGATTAATTTTACATTTATTTCACTGAGTGTAAAAGCTTCATTTCTATCCTAAATCTCCAAGATTGAGGGAAAAAAGCAATCTTGGCAGATTAGTGACTTTCAAAATTTGCAACTGGACAATATCTCATTTTTAAACAGTCATCAAATGAAGAGAAACGTAAAACATCTTACACAGTAGATGATAAAAATGCCCACTGAATATATCATAATGCCAGGCTATTTTAAAGGCTTTGATAGCAGAATTTGTATCTTGATAATTTCTTTCTTAAAGATCATCTTGCCCTACTCAGGACTCTAAACCTGTTTTCACAGAATTCAGTGAGAACAGACTGTACGCCAAGAATGATAATTCATTGTAGACAGCCTGAGGGCAGGTGGAAGACATTAGAACACATTTTTTAAAAAGAACTTTCATGCTCTATCTTGCATCAGAAAATAAAACCATGCTTTTGAAACAGGACTATGACAGACAAAATATAAAAAATTTTATACAAACAACAAATCATAACATGAAGTCAACTCAGATGAACATGCAGGTCAGGCAGAGTGCTTTTTTTTTTTCTTCAAGCATACTCAAACATACCTGCAAGGCGTTTTTAATGAGATAATAGAAATCCATGGATAAATTGAGCAAAAATGTCCTGTATAGACCTTCAGTACCTTATCACTGAAGAATTTTAGCAACTGTGCTAATAGTAACAAAGAAGAACACCCCCCTCCCTCTCATGAAATTGTTTTCTACTGTTGCATTTCCAGTTTATAATTTAAATGTTACATGCCGGTTTCACCTGGCCCAGTCAGGAATAATTTTTACCATTGGAAAGAGTAAGGTCACTGCTAGCAGCTGTGATTTCAGAGCAGAAATAAATATGTATCAGTTATTTAATAAGCCACATTTTCATCCAACTGGTACAACCAAAATATATATGCTGTCATCCAGATTAAATGAAGGTAGAGTATGGAAAAATTAATTCTTCACAATAATATCAGTCATTACAGGCTTTCTTTTACATCATCAGAAATAAAAATATGCTAGGCTCTTTGTTCTGTATGAACAAATAGGCGAATCATACTCACTTTCTACCTTCTGATTCTTATTAGAACTGGCAAAAGGAGAGTTCTTTTTAATAAACTCTATTTTGTGACTGCATGAGGACTGCTTTCCTAGCCTTGCTTAAAAGCATTAGGTAGAGAAAGAAATTGATGTAAACATGATTTACTACAGACCCGTCCACCTACACCATTTCTAAGAGCACTCAGAAGTGAACCATGACACTGTTCTGTATCAAGGCACAGTCTGACACCATTCTCAGGCAGAGTGGTAGATAAATATTGCAATCTACTCACCAAATTACTTCATCATGTTCATACTGAATTAAGGGACTTATGAGGGGTGGTCAGTCCAAGAAATGGTGGCAGAATGAGAATTTGGTTAGGAAAGTATCAGGAACAGCTATCATACAATATCTTAAATATATGGAAAATTGCTCTTTATGTAAGTATGTGAAACATTATATAGAAGTATATATAACAATTATTTATAATGAAAGGAGAAAATGGAGGCAAGATCAGCCTGAGCTGAGTGAAGTCCAAGTTGGAATAAATATTGTTTCAGATATTCTGTTTTCAAACATATTTTATCATAGCCAGCAGTAATCACATCGACAAAACTCTGGAGTCTGATATCTGTAGAAATTTAGAGAACTCCCAAGCATTAAATATTAGAAGTCCAAGCAGCTAATTTGTATATATATATTTGTGTATATAATGTCTCCTACAGCAGCAGTTCTTCATATTACCTGGCTCCATAAGTATGTGTTGTAGAGTGCTGTCAGCATATCTGGCCTCAGAATTTCATTACATCCATGCTGCAGGAGCATCTTGGCAAAGGATTTATATTTTTTCTGTTCATGCAAATAGCAACGAAGCACAAAAGAGACTTGTGAACACCATAAACAACAACACAGCTCTAGATCCCAGACACTTGGAAAGTGGAGAGATTTAGGCAAGGTACTGTATGTATTCATTCAGATGTGCATACAACTTACATCTATATAATTAAGAATGTCAAGAGTATACAGTAAAAGATTTGCATACTATCCCATTAAGAAAATTGCAAAAATATTTTTTGGGATATAAGAGTAAATTATAGATTAAGGTGAGGGCACTCAAAAGCCAAATATGTCACTGTTGCTTGAGTAATGAGTAAGAAGATAATGTTTGTAAAGGTCATTAAAAGAGAGGTAATAAAAAATAAATGCATGATACAACATGCATTTTTTTAAAACCTCTCCAATGACTTCAGGAGACGTTATCTTTCTGATGGAAGTACATACAGTAGAGATTAGCTCACTCAAAAAGTAATAATTCTTTTTGGGCGGCAAAACAAAGACTGTCTGATGAACTGAACTAAAACATCACAACATCACAGGTGAAACCTGTGCCACTGCTAGCTCTAGACATTTCACGCAGACAGAGTAGCTGTGAGTGAACCAGGCACTTTCTGGCAGCACCGGCTAGTGCTCCTACAGTACCTGACTGCTCAGTGTAGTCCCCCACTTGGCCAGGAGGTTCCTAGGATCATCCACAATAACGCTGTACCTATCTTTGAGCTTCTCATAGGCAGCTTTATATAATTTCTGCTCAGAATAGCATAATACAGTGTAACAAATTAAAAGAGAGTGAAGACACAAAGAGATCACAGTTCTAACCATTGAAACCTCTTTACATGGACTATTTAAAGGTTGGGATTCAAGTTCACATCCAAAAGAGAAAAATACATTAAAAAAAACAAACAGAGAGAAAATATTTCCAAATAGTATACACATTTCTAAATTCCCACTGGAAGGCTTAATCTACGATTTAAGGATGCCTATATTCCATCCCTGCCAATCTTCAACAAGCCATTTTATGACTTACTTTCTTCATGAAAAATAACTGCAGAAGCAGCCCTGTATGGAACTAGATTCTTGAGTACAAAGAGAACAAAATGAGATGCAAGGGTGAAAATACAATGTTATATTATCATCAGACATTTTGTAAGCAAATACTATAATCCCTCATCACAAAATACATCACTTACATAACAGAAGACCTTTAGGCAAGTTCATTTCAATGTATGGAGCCCCTGTTGCTAAAATTTTACTCATGTATGTGTCTCATATTAAATTTTTCCTTATTTGCTCTACCAAACAATGAGAAGACTGAATACTAAACAGTTTTTCTTACCTAGAACAGATAATACCGTAATACATTTACTGACAGGTAAACAATTTAACATAATGTCTGGTGAAAAAGGATAAAACACCAAGATGTAAGAGTCTAAATATATACTGCTTTAACGAAAAGCATCAGTCTGGTGTGGTATGCCAACTCCAAGCTGATGAGAATTCACCTAGAACACAGTGCTTTTCAAGGGGCTTCGCCCTGTGCGTGTACAGCCCTACTCCTAGAAACTCCATTGGTGATTTTAATCTTAAACCCAGGGGCATTCATTAACCCCCCCTTTGCTACTATGTTGTGTTTATTGTTTCTTTAGCATTACAGGAGAAAAAGTAAGTAGCAGAGTGGAAGAATTCAAGGCAAAATATCTGAAATGAAACAGAGCTATGGTAACTTCAGACATGATACTATCTTCCTAACACTCATGAAGTTTTTTTTCAATGTTTCAGGAAAGCGATTGCGATTTTCTCTATACCTTTTTCACATGACAATCAACAATCAGTGTTACTAAGCCAGCAGCATTATTTAAGTTAGCATTTGTTTACCAGTCAGCAAAGGAGAAGTTTCTTTGCAATGGCAAAGTAATGGAACAGGGGTCAGGATTTCACTTTTTAGGTACTGTAAACCTGCCCTGTCCTAATAGACAGACAGTAAGAACAAGCTTGTCTTTCATTATTTTAGTCTGACCTTAAGACATCTTTAAGCCTGAATATATATTGATTTATTTACAATTTCATAAGGAAGATCAACCTTCAACTCGGTATTAACATACACACACTTACTGCTTCAGTATGAGATGCTACAGAAATCTTTAACACTTACCGCATCCATCAACTGAGTTGCATGTTTAAAATGCTTGTTAATTGGAGAGTCAGCTACATAGTTAAAAAGAGACTTAGTCTTCTCAAATATCTCCTTGTACTTACACTGCAGGAAAAAAAAAAAACCCACAAAAAACCATTCCAATGTTAATCCAAAGAAGGGTAAGGCAAAGAACACACACGATTTCAGAAAGAATCTGCAGCAAAACCATGCTATAATTATTGCATATGTGTGTTTAACATACCTACAAACAAAAAATAGTTGTAAATGTAGTAGTTTGCAGGATGGAACTATCATATCAAGAAAGCAATGGAAATTTCAGATGTTCATAATTTAAAAGCTTAGACTTAGAAAAATTACTATGGAGCTGATAGCTTTGCAAGGAACAGAGGGGATAAGTAAAAGATCACTTTGCCTCTGTTTTCTTTTATAGTAAGAACTGAAATTTTAGATGTTATATATTAAGCCCTACCATGAATTATTCATATTAATGTCTAGGTCAGAATTGGATTCTCCTGTGAAAAATTTATCTACAATATAAGCAAACATCAAAAAAACATTTAGCAAAAATTCAGACTGTTTTACTTACCCCACTGTAGAGCACCTTATTCTTTTCTGCCAGAGCAAAACTTGGAGTATCCCATGCATAACAGCCAATGCCTCTGAGCCATGATAAGTCTTCCTTGTACTTAATCTTTAGAAAAAGAAGTAAAAGGATTCGGTTTTAAGCGGCACCAAGTGGTAGCTGATCAATGCTGAAATGGCACCTCAACACAAGGTGTAGCAGAGCTACGTCCATTATTACTCCATTAAAAAATAAGTTACATTTACTCATACTTTTCTGATGGACTCAGATTATTCACATACCTAATCTATCATTAGCTATTGGAGTTCCTGTGTGAATCACAAAACGTTGATTCTTGTACAATTAAGGGGTTGTTGTACATGTACAGATATGTACAATTAAAGGTTGTTTTAGGGTTAACAAACAAATCTAAGCAAATGCAACTGAAATGAATTAAGACTGTTCTGTTAATTTCAAAAGGAGATGGGCTGCAATCTTAGCCATCTGATTTGCTCTGTCATTTCACAGATCTGCCAGGTGAAAGTGTAAATCACTAAAAATTTCAGCTGCCTTTCCTTTCTCAAGAAATAAGACTTGGTTTTCATTTTGGAAACCTACTTATAACTTTCAACTTCTTACATCCGGGAACTATTTGAACTCACATCACTAACAGCATCCGTGACTGCACGATGATGGGAATGCTCCGGACGGTCTGGGATCGATCTCCAGATTCCTAACTGGCTCATATAATTTTCCTTATATTTCACCTACAACAAAAATTGGAGAATGAAGTAAACCACTTTGAGAACAGAACACTCTAGATCATGCAGTTGCAAGACCTTCCTTTTTCTGAAACATCAGAACTAAAACAGTGGAAATGAGATGAACTTGCATTCACCCTTGTAACCTCAAAGGCAATCAAGTGTATAATATTCCAGAGAAGGAAAGAAGTTAAAATTAATAGTGCTGATCATATTTTTCTAATTATTTGACACACATAAGTAGAACGATAGCAAAAATGGCATATTCTAGGTTATTAGATGACAAACACTAACTAGGAATGAAAATGTTGTATACATACACTGCTAATATCATCGGTGACCTTTCGGTGATAGACAATATTCAAAGCATCTTTCACTGTGTGGTATTTGCCCTTAGTATTCTCAAAGGTTTCTTTGTAGCGCAACTGGTAAGAAAAATAACATATAAAAGAATATATTATATCTATCTGTCAGGAATTGTTTTAGTTAAATTTCCTACCTCTTAGGAATGACATCCAGGGATATGTTGCTGTCCAACACCCTAACATAAGCCCTGAGGAATTTTAAAAAGCTGCAGCTGCCTACAATCAATTGCAATTTGACTGAGTCTTATGGTGAAAATTAGAGAGAAAAGGAGCCGGTACGTCTAAAGCAACATTTCATCCTATTCACTTTCATACGGAAGACTGAGGAAAAAACATCCATGTATCACAGGACTACTCTCTAGAACAGCGGAAGTGCCACTTTTGGCATAAAAAAACTACTTATCCCTTCTTCCATGTCCTGATCTAGAAGAAAGCAGGAAGATCATTTCAGTCTTTGGAGGAAGACTTTCTCAGAGGAGAAGTTCAGATGTGCAAAAGAACTGGGATGCTCCTTTGCAGTGTTTAAAAAAATCATTCTTAAGAGAGCAGTAAGACTAATCACTAGAACAAAACACCAGACCAGCACATATCCTTTCAGGATACAACGTGCAATCTGAAATATATAGCAAAGATCTCATGAATGAGTAGAGTACTCTTAGCCATTGCCTTAAATCACAAACCACTATTCCACGCTTGAAGGAAAAATCAATTTCACCTTAATAACCTTATGTGCAGCGGCTCAGATAATTTTTCTCTCTAATCTACTTCTAAATTAAAAAATGAACACATTCTCAGTGACATGCAAGTTTACTTCTAACACAAAACTGAGATGAAAATATCTGATAAAAGGTATTCTATCCTGGCTCCAGCATCAATCATTTCACTCCAGTCTGCACTATTTGGAGACTTCACATGTAAGCACATTACTTTAAATCTATTTTTCCTTTGTTGTAAGACCACGCTTCAGTGCAATGGAAAATTAAAATGAATTATAACAAATGAAAAAAAAGCATTACAGTGACATCAACTAAAATAATCTCCGTAATATCAAATGGAAATGTACATGCAAATGGGGTGACCTAGGTTATGACCCATACTGAGATATTCTATGCTTTGCATACTTGTTCCCCATTGATCCTTTTTCTGTCCTTTTCATAAAGAAACCAAGAAAAAGCAGCAGTGAAAGTGTTCATGGACTACATACATCACTGGCATTCAGGTATGCTCTCTTGGCTCTGATCAAGACTGGTGTGTCAGGGACAGGCGTGTATTTGTCCTTCATCTTCTCATACTGGATTTTGTACTTTTTCTGAGAGAGACAGCAAAAGGGAAAAGTTATGTCTTTAATCTTAGAAGCATTTGCCAATCTGATATTATGTTAATGCCCGGGGTGCTACACTGAGTGCATAAAGTCATTCTTGCAAAGCGCTTCTGTCAAAACTTTGGGCAACAAGCTCAGCTGTTCAGCTCTTTCTAGGTCTTCCTGGTCTTGCAGCCAGTGTACCTCAGATTCTGCAAACAAGCACTTAGAAACAGGTATCTTATAAAATACTAAAAGATATTTTAAAAGTGTACTCTTTTACCACAATTTATAAAGGAAATGTGGAACTTAAGCATGACACAGAAAACTAAATGAAGGGTAAACACATTTGAGCCTTGAAACTATCACTAAAATTAGAAATAAAACTTCTAAACAGTTCAGCATAGTGGTACCAAACAAACAAACAAACAAAAATTCTTACCTCACTGACCATGTCCTTTACATTCCTAGCATGTGTAAAGGCTGGAGTCTGACCACCAGCATGATGATGGGGTCTCTCTTTTGTGGCAAGTTCCACGTACAAGTACTGCAGCAAGAAGAAAAGAATCAAAAAATATACATTTCAAGTAAGTTTTATTTTCTCTCTCTGAAAAATGTCTGTAAATTCACAATGTAGCCATAACCACACAATTTACCCCAGGAAAAAATAATGTGCCCTTTTCTCTTCCATACTATATCATTTCATCTATGTCAGTACTCTTGATATTCTGTAACTGCCAGTAACATGCTCACAAACCAAGAAGTCAAATGCATGGGACATTAATGACCTCTCTGCCCTAGATTCAGAGCTAGCTTTAGATAAAAGCACCCATAAGGTCTGTTTTTCTCTGGTGAGTATCTTCATTTTGTTCTGCAAATTTAAAAATTCCACAAAATTTGTAGCTAGTAACTCAGATAATGAACTACTATATGAATAAAGAAATTATGATGAATAAAGGTAAATGGATAAAAATATTTATCCTTCTGATGAAGCCAGAGTTTCAGAGAATTTGAACAGAACTGTACCGGGGTTCAATGCTCTATTTCAGATGGACAAAGCTGAACGTGTCCATTAGAGAGACATGGTCAACACAAAAATTCATAGCCACTTAAAAATGAGCAACAGTCATTTTAAACGTCCTCTCTAGGAATTCTACATTGCTTTGAAATGGCCTGGGAAGATTTTGCTGTACTTTAAGAGTATATTAAGAGGGTCCCCTGACTGGTTTTTTATCAGTACAATTTTTTCACCTGGCTCTGTATTTTTTGTCCTTGCTTGGCTCTCAGGAAGTCAGGTGTATCAAGGATGGAAGTGTATTTTGTCTTCAGCTCCTTGCCTGCAGCTCTGTAAACCAGCTGGAAAAAGACAGGTCCATGAATTATTTCTTCTGTTACATATGTTCATTTAGCAGCTGAACAATCACAGCTTTGCTTTTTAACATCTCATGTATTTCAGAAAAAACAGTGAGAGCGTCTGAGCTTAATTATAGCTAACAAAGATGTGCAAAAATAATATAGAACTTACTTCACTCAAATGGGTTTTCAGTTCCTGCACTGTTCTGTACCCAGGAGTATCCAACACTACATTGTATTTAGCCCACATCTTCTTTGCGGTATCAGTGTATATATAATTAGACTGGAAAAAGAAAAGCAGTGTTACTTAGGAAGCTTTTATTATTCTTGGTAGTAAAGAAAATTTTACACCGTAACCTAACAGTGCTTCAAAACAGCTAACTAGCTGCATGGCAAGAAATTCTGTCATAAGTCTTTACTCATTTTCATGTACTTAACTTCCTGGAAGTACATAGCATGCATGTAAATAAATCAAATGTTGTTACACATGGTTGTCAGAAGAAAAATCTTACCCAAAGCTTACGCAGGTGACGAGCACGGACCATATCAGGAGTATCATACAGGAAGCAACCCAAGCCCTTCAACCACTTCAGATCCTCTTTGTATTTATTCTATGAGGCAATTAGAAAAAGAAGAATCAACAATTAACTTCTGGGATAATTTCATTAATCAGTCCCAAAACACAGTGACAAAGCGTTTATCTATTACAGAACAGAATGCAAATAATAGAAGCCAAATTCCACTTTCAGTGTAGAAGTATTAGACCTGTTGTATTCAAATACCAGGTAGCTTAACAGAAGTTCCTTACATCGCTTGTGATATCCCCAACGTAGCGGCAGTGCAACACCTGAGGAGTGTATGGCAAGGAAATCAAGTGTCCCTGCATGTTAAAGAAATCCGACTTGTAGATCAGCTGAAAGACAAAGAAAAACCAGCATTTCACGTGTTTGATCATGCTGAATATTCTAAATCTCTTCTGTTTGTTATGTTAGAAAGTCACATACATCACTGACAGCTTCCTGTGTTGCTCTGACTTGACGGATTTGTGGTGTGTCTGGAGTGGTATGAATCTTGTCCTTGTACTTGTGGTATGTTGCCCGATACAACCTCTGTATCAAAGGAGACAGCATTCTACATGTTAAAAACTTAAAATGGCAAGCAGTTTGGCAGAGTGTAAGTACTTCACTTTTAAGGGCAGGTTTTTTGCTAGGTATTGCATAACTACCAGAGGAAAGGGAGCAAACATACTATTTTCTAACCAGGCAAAGATTTTCCACAACTGTTTTTGATAGCAGCATCTCTACTACATGGAGAACCTGAGACTCTAATCCTATAAACATGTAAATATGTATGTTTAATTTTCATCCTATTAAAGCCAATGGTCAAAGAAGTGAGTACATATGTATAAAACCTAAAACTATCGAGACCCAATGTCAACAGACACAATAATTTCTATGCAACTTTAACCAAATAGCAGCAGATCAGTTAATAAAATTAGGCTGCAATTGATTTTATATTATGGTAATGGTTATACAGGATTACAGAAAGTTAGAGTTATCAAGAACCTTAAAAAGCCATACAGCCCAACTCCAAGCCTGGATCAATGATCCCTTCCCATTCTTCATGGATATTTGTCTAAACTGCTCTTAAAAGCCTCAAAGAACAGGGATCCTACAACCTTCCTAGTCACCGTACTCTCATCATTCATATTTTGGGCACTACAAATACAATTGAAAGCAAATACATATATTTACTGTACCTCATTAATGACTTGATTCACTTTCTTCACATTTTCAAACCCAACATCTTTAGGTCCCAGAGTATAGCCTTTAGCTTTCATGTGTTCATAGGCTTCTTTATATTTCAGCTATAAAGTGGAAAAAGGAACAAAAACATACAGAAACTAAATTTGATTGATTCTACTTACACTGCAGTCCTGACAGTAATTTATGCAGTATAAAGACCAAGATTTTGAGATAAACAAGTGACATGTAGCTATATCAGAGTTAAATACACTATATCAGAGTTAAATACACTACACATCATTATTATTTTTACCTCTATCATGTGGCCCGAGATTAATAATGTTTTACATTTCTCTTGCATCTAATAAGGTATTCACATCTGCCTGAGGAAATATATTATATTTTGATAGTAATTGCTTGAGATAGTTAACGGGGTTTGGTAACATTTAAATTTTGTTAAGACAAACATTATCAATGTTGGGGCTTCAGTGCACTGAGGTTTAATTGCCCTGACCAGCCGCACCTGGGATGTCAGGCCTCGCCTGAGCTATGCTGTAAGCGCATCTGTCTTCAGCCCTGCCTCTGTCCCCAGTTCCTGGCTGGACATCGTCCTGTGTTATCAGTAACTCGTCTCTAGCCCTGTCTCCTGGATTCACCTTGGACCTGTGTGGTAGGTGGCTTGTCTCCAATCTCTGCTCCGTTTCCCGCAGCTCCTGACTGCATCCCCCTGGACAGACCTTGGCCCCGGTTCCTCACCTTGTCTGGGACTGTTGACGCAACCTGTTATCAGCACCCTGCTCTGCCCACCCCATTCAGGTGCAGTGGGACTTCACCCTGGGTGATGAGGTCACTGCTTGTTTCATGGTCACCCTCAGTTCCTGGCTCAGGCACCCACATGGAACTACCAACTCTTGTTGCTCTCTGACAAGCAATCTCGTAGCTGAGAAATAACCGTCTCAAACCATTGTGTGCTCATACAGGATGGGCATCAAATATTCCCTTGCTGAGAAGGACTTGGTACATTACTTACATCACTGCCAATGTACTGGACATTTTTAGCATGCTGAAAGCTGGGGGTATCTGTGGGAAGGCTGTATCCAGTAGGCAGAGCTTTCACACCAGCCCAGCGATACAGATTCTGCAAAAGAAGAGAGAGAGAGTTTGTGCAACTGTGTGTAATATTCATTACTATTCATTAGCTGCATAGGAAATCTCTTAATCGCAACTGGCAAAAGATTTCGCCCATGTCTGCATTATAATGCATACTTGTAGTTTAAATGAGGACATTTTCCCACTTTCATTTTAGAGCAGTGAAATCTAGCTTCTTTACCTGAAAAGCTAAAGACAGACATTAACTTTTAAAGAATTTGCTTTAAAAACAGAAACTCTGTGGACCCAGAAGTTTTATACTTACTTCACTCTGTATTTTGTTTGCATGATATGCCCTCTCCAAATCTACTGTTTTATCAGTAGGAATCACTTTGCCTTTAACATTGTGCATATATGCACCACGATAGACAGCCTGAGAAAAAGAAAAAGTAATTAGAGGAGAGTCATAATTGTGATGCTCACTCACAGTATGTATTGTTTGCATATATACGGGAATTTCTCCTAGAACACTGGATGAAAGTTTTCTGGATTCAGGCAATTGATGATTTCAGTCATTGTGTTCTCATATATGCTTAATAAATGCATAGGCAATGAGTTGTAGAAAATCAGCAATGATTAAATGATTAAAATGAAAGGATTACAAAAATATTAAAAGTCGCATTTCTAGAACTTGTGAGGTAATGGCATATATAGTATCAGGGGTGAAAGGTGATACAACACTTACTTCACTTAAATTCAAGCCACTGAGGACATTCTGGACATAGACAGGAGTGTCCATGACCACAGTGTAGTCATTCTTCATTTTTTCTGCCTTAGATTTGTACTTAATCTGCAGAAAGAAATTCAAGAGCTCTAATTAGTAAGGCTAGTCATTGTTAATTGACTTTATTATATTATTATATTTGCTGTATTTACTATTTATTTTATTACTGAACTATTCTATTAGTGAATCAGCATTTAAACAGAAAGTGTATTGAATTTATGGCTGAATAAATGAACGTGGCACCTTACTAGATAAGAACAGGTGATAAGTTTTATCAACAAATATTAGGAAATGTCAATACTCGTTCATAGAATAGGCATATGTACATTATGATAAATATCCACATGCTTCTGATGCAGAACTTATGAAGGGACATACATTCTCAAAAACCAGAATGGTTATTCTCCCATTTTAATAGCTTAATCCCAAACTAAGGGTGTGTCATAAGATCTTGAGAGGAGAAAAACAAATCATAAAATCAAGATCAAAATACTTTTTTTAAAATATGAATTCTCCATCATTTCTGCTTTACTTCACAGGTTCTGAATGAAGAATTACTGTTTTAAGCTCTTTTCTGAGAAGACAAGTATTTAAACATATGCTTAATGCTTTCCTGAATGGGATGTAACCTGACAATATCTAGTTCTAGAGCCGCAAAGTTTAAATAACGATATATGGTTATTTAATGAATACTTCAGTAGAGAAGGACATATAACATTTTCCAGATTGTATCTGGAGTAGAATAAAGCTACTCCATCCTTTTAATACAATGGAGTGAAAAAAACTAAGCAGCAAAACCAGTGCATCCACTCACATCACTGCGAAGATCGTAGGCATGTTTGGCATGGAGAATTTCAGGAGTGTCCCAAACAAAGCAGCCAATGCCTTTCAGCCAGTTAAGATCATCCTTGTATACCACCTAAGGTATCAGAGCAAAGAAGCAATCTGTAAGACTTCCACACTAGGATCTAATCCCATATTGCTAAATCAGTCTGAAGCACAACTGTCAAACGATGGCAAGGAAGGTTTCCAGTATTTTGACTTTTTTTTTGGTTTGAGAAAACCAAAACAATTCCTTTTGGAATTTAAATAATTTTTCTTCATTGCTTCAGTGTGACCAATAAATAAAAAACCCCAATGATATTTAAAAGAACTACTCGCATATCCTACTGGGCAATGGTTTAGTGATAGGCAGATCGCTGGCCTACTCCTGGGCTGGCCTATGCAAGGCAAATGCGTAGAAGCTTCGCACCACCAGGATTTCCTCAAACTTCCAAAGTTTCCACACCTTATGCAACCGAATAATAAAGGACAATTCACAGACAGGGATGGCTGAACTGGTAGAACAGTAATGTTAGGACCCAATGCCTACACTGATAACACTGAATTTATGCACACTAAACCACATCTTAACTACGCACTCATTGCCAAGTGTCATGAAAATATGATGCAGATGCTGTTCAGCAGTGCATAATACAACAGATTCAAGTGGCAACTTCAGAGCACTCCAACCAAGTTTTTGCTAAATCATTTCCTCTAACAGAGCATAAATGCAAGAATCTTTTTAAAAAGTGAGCCACAAACACATGATTTGTGAACTTACATCACTGAGTTGATCAGTTACTTTTCGAACATGGGCATTGATTTGAAGATCTGGTAGACACATCCATTCGTGGAGATGAGTGCGGTAATCAATTTCACTGATTTTCTTCTGCGCATCCTTAGCAGAAATTATGTCTACCATGTCTGGAATAATGTGGACTTTGGCTTTATTCTTTTCATAGACTTCCTTGTACAGACGCTGCAGAGTTAAAGCAGTACATTAATAATGCTGACAAACAGACCGAAGCATTAACTGTTGATAAATTTGAAGCAAAATTATTGATATTTTCATGGAATGTTAGCGGGAGAGGAATCACTTTGGCTATAGCTAATATTTACATCTTGCCTGCTCTAAAAATAACTTGCAGAACCTTAACAAGGGTGATAAAATATGATATGTTAAATTTTTATTGTACTCACATGTTAAAAGGAGGTAGACTATGTAGCGTTCCATTTTATACATAAACATATTACACTAAAGGTTTAGCCGTGCAGGCAATTTAGCAGTTGAGTCACAAGCTTGAAAAGACATTTGTAGGTGTATTATAGAATTTAGCAAACGTTGAACACTGCCAAATTCATGTAGAAATGTGATATCTGAATGAATGCATGCGTATTCTTTGAGTAGCCTCTTCTGAGGTATGTATGGTTTTATCAGGAAAACACGTATCAGAAAACAACACTTACATCAATATTAAGCTTTCCAACTCTAAGGCACCTTGCTGTATTGGGATCATCCTCAACACCTCTGGGTAGAGTGTACAGTGCTTTAAACTTGTCATATTCTTCTCGGTATTTCACCTAAGCAGATGCAAAGAAAGGCAACTAATAACTGACTCCAATGAGTCAACTGTATTTTTGGAACAAAATTCAACAGTAAGCAAAATATTTAGTTGAATCCAACAAGCAGAGAAAGCCTTTAAAGCAGGATCTTGTTTTCTATTTTATTTTAAATGGCAAAGAAAGCACATCATAACTATCATGTTGTAAAAATAACAACAGCTGACTAGAAGACTTTAAATATAAACAGTTGTATAAGCTATTTATTTATTGTTCCAGCTCTTTCATTTAAAGATATCCATGAAGAGAGTGATCTCTCATAAGCCTCAGTTCATTAGAACACAAGATTATGTTCTTCTATACTCAGTAAAGCATCATTTAAAGACATTTGGTGTTTTTCTGACCTGGATGCTTATGCAATTTAGACTTTAAAAAAACCTAACCAGACATTTTCAAGAAACACTTTCTATTGCTATAAAATGTGACCTTTTTTCCATGAAAAGAAGCAGGAAAGGACTATCTGTTATCCAAATGATTATCACAGAAAAATGATTAACTACAGATACATATTATATCTAAATTAAAAACAGATGCTAATTTAACACCCCGCCTTTTTATACCTATAGTATATGCAAGGTATGAAGGACTTTGTTGCTAGAATTGATGATATGATTAAAAAAAACCCCTACTTTATTCACTTACAATACTAGCATTATGCTTCAGTTCTTTTGCACGTGCTAGGGATACAGCATCAGAGGGCATCATATAGCCAGTAGCTTTCACTTTTTCCCAGGCTTTCTTGTAGAGATTCTATGGGGAAACAGAAAGTCTCTGTGAGTGGAAAAATTCTCCTCCTGAGTAATAACCAATGACCAATGGAAATCAAAAGCCCTTCTGTTTTTATTTATACGCTGTAACTATTACTTAATATCAAGAGGCTGTATACTAGTTTAATCTTGACAGTGCACATAGAGGGGGACAAAAATGCTTCTAACTATTCACGCCCATTCTCGTACAAGGTCTTAATTTTGTTCAGGTGCAATTTTCTTCAGGGAATCCATTTATTAATGCATGCATTTTGACAAGACTAGAACTACAGTTAGAAAATACGCCGTCTGCCTGGAATACAGCTTCTTCCCCATGCTCAAGCAACGCAGAGGGCTGTCACTGGCTTTGATAAGCTCCACATCTGGACGCTTATCTTCAAACAGAGTGAACAAACAAAATAAAACAAAAATCCTACTTAATACCACCTTAAGAGAAAAAACAAACAAACAAACAAAAGTATAGAAACACTCACATTGCTAAAGAGATGTTTCAAATTTTGAACTCTTTCAGAATCCACTGTTTCAGTCACAGTTGTATACTTGTCCTTAGTTTTGTGGTAATCTTGCTTGTATTTCACCTGTAAGATGAAAGACGTATTTAGTTAACTTGTTTGAATTCTCAGAAGGAGCATGGGAAAAAGCCTGAGTAGAAAAAGTGGGGAGACTCACATCACTAGCATTTATACGACTCTGCACTGCAGTCACGTAGAGAGGTGTATCAGTTACAACACCAAAGTTCTGCAAATTCTCTTTTCCTGCAGCTGTATATTTTATCTAAGGAAAGAAAACAAAACCAAACAAAACATTAATGCTGAAAATGACCAGGAAATTCCCTGCCAGCTTCCTTTAAAATCAGTTCTGGACAACTGAGGCCCAGGGTTACAGCCCAGTTAAGACCAACTTTAAAAGTGACAGGCCATACGTAAGAAATACTTAATATATAGCCAGTACGAACTAAGGAATAATGAAAATTGCACAACACTATAGAGCATCTAGTAGGCTAAGAGTACAATCAGCAAGGCAAGAGACACTATTTTCCCAACATAAATGCCTCATTGAGGTATCTTGTGCACAGGGTGGCATACAGAAAGACTGTGTTATCTTCTTACTCTTAAAAACCACAATCTTGCTGTCCTTCCTTTCTCCTAGGTTTTCTGCGCTTTCAATAACTCAAGTGATCATGTTTCTACAGACAAAACTGGAAGAGTGTATTATAATAGTTCGAACAAAATATTTCTGATGTAATGGGAATTACTTCATTCTGCTCTGGACTAGGACAGGTGTCAGTCCCAGTGAATCATAAATAGGAGGAAAAAATCTTACAGATATTTACGTATTTGAGGAAAACATGCTTACCTGGCTCTGGAGGTCATAGGATTTTTTAGCATGCAGGATTTGTGGAGTATCCCAGACATAACATCCAAGTCCCTTCAGCCAATTTAGGTCATCTTTATACACCACCTATATGGAAGAAAACAGACTATTAAGTTCGGAAGAAATTTGCCTTCTGTTTGAAGGAAGTAGTATTTGTTTCTTCTCTATATTCAGTATCTTCCATTTTGTGCAAACGCAATGCAGAAGGTTACCACTGAATCTGAAACAGACTCATTCAGTGATTCCAATCTATTTGGAAGTTCAAATGTGAGCACAGAGAGGACTCGCCCATCTCACGGTTTGACTGAATGATTGTTACCCCCAGGATTTGCGAGGGAAACTAAAGCAAATAATACAGCATAGTAATAGGCCAGGCAAGTAACACATTGTCAGATTTTATTAGGAAGGTTGGTTGGCCCAAGCTGAGATGCTGTTGACTATGCAATATAAAAAAGCGTCGTGGTTCAGTGTGCCATTCACTCAGCTTAGACTCTGTGGGCTGATACATCCCCAAATGAACGAAGAGAAGTCTTTTCCAGACCCACTGGATCCAGGAGGATTGTGGATGCTGTCCTGACCCCTTGCAAATTATAACATTCCCAATTACAATACATAACAATCACTGCAGTGCAGCAACATTCTGACTGGACCATGCTACATCCACATCTCTTCTGTGCCAGATGGTAAGCTTTCTATACAGTCTCATCCAGTCAAAGAGAGATTAAGTGTTGATAGCAGTGACCTTTGGGAGGGTTTCATAAACGTTAACTTAAAATTTTTCCAATTTACAGACAAAAATAAATATCCAGACCATTACAATGTCCCAAAGAAAATGGTAAAAATGTAATTTTCATTACTATGCTACTAAGTAATCTAAGACCATGGTTATTAATTTCATATTTAAATATTATGGAAGATATTTGAAAGTATTTTGTATTTAAATACCTTGGAAAAAATTACATGAAAGGCTACTAAAATGTCAAACAAATAAATGAAACACATACATCACTCAAAATTTCCTGGGCTTTTTTGGCTTGAACAACATCATTTTCTTCAGGTGAACAATTCCACTGATGGAAATAAGTTCGGTATTCAAGATCACTGAGGATATACTGGCACTTCTTGGCAAGCACGTGATTCATCATGTCACTTGGAATATGGACATTTGCTTTGGTGTCTTCATAACTCTTTCTGTACGCCAACTAAAAAGGAAAGATTGGGGAAAAGGTGGGAAGAGAGAATAGTGGTTTTCTGCATAATTTTGACTCTAACAGGCTACAGGTTATAGCATAATCTGAGGCATGTTTTCTGGACTTAGTAGCTAAGCTCCCATGGGATTCAATAGGATGAAATCTTAACTTCTATATTAATCACCATTTACTCTGATGAGGTTCTAGAAGGACAAGAATGACCTTCTTCACTTGCAGATTTAACAGCTGGTGAGAAAATTAACAAGACTTCAAGATAAAAAAAGTCATATGCTACAAACATGTTTTTAACCTAGTTAAATCTCCCTGTCCGAATGAAGACAGAATATTTGGGATTATAGTAATTTATGCCCTGCATGACATGCTACATGTGCAGTGGTGATAACAAACCACCAAACGTGCATTTACTTTTCCAGTTCTTAAATCTCTATTTCAATTCAAAATTAACACTTTTTTTTGTAAAGCAAAAGAATCCCAAGTCAGGTAGTATTTCTTACTGCTCAGATTCTTAAACTGAAATAGAAAAAAGGTTTTTTCCCTATTCTCATATGTCTAATAGCTAAATAAATCCCTTCTTAATCTCCTAAATCATTTCAAGCTCAATTATTCAACCCATGTACAAAATAACCATTCAGGAAACATAAACATGTTGAAAACACTTTTACTGATGTTATTAAGCATTGCATTATTTACGTTTAAATATGTCACACTAAAATAAAGAAAATGGAAAATACTACAGCAAGACTAATTCTCTCCTTACCGCGCTCCTCATTTTCTGGAATGCTAGTGAATGAACGACACTGGGGAAATCACCGATCTCCTTCCCAGCCAGGTAATGGCCTTTCAGCTTCTCATATATTTCCTTATATTTAAGCTGCAAAATATTCATGTGGAAATTTTAAAGTTCATTCTAAAAACATATAGGGGAAAAAAGAGGAAGAATGGAAAATTCATACTAACCTCACTATTTATGTAGTTTGCACGCTTCGCTCCAACAAGTGGAATATATTTCTCATCCAAAGTATACGCAATGGGCTTGCTAATTTCCCAAGCATTTTTATAAAGTTTCTAGACAAACAAAACACATACAGGTTTTGATAAAAAATCCGTTAACCTTTCCAAGAAACTTGACTCTGCCATTTATATGCATATGCAATACGACTACTTTTATAGAGTAGTTCCTTATTCCATGAATTGTCCCAATAAAGTAAAATGAAGAATGCTCATTTTGAACATTTATTCAGTGTGAGTAAGGCAAACAGAGTAAGTGTTCCAATTCAGGAAGGTACCTGAGCAGAAATTTGAGCTGATCAAATTTACTATATTTGGATTTCAACATATATTTCTCATCCAGAAGAGTAATAAAAATATCCAAAATGTAGATATTAACTCTTGTTTAAAAGTACAGTATAGAATTGACATTGATATTTTTATAGATACATGTTGAAAAGTGAAAAATCTCCAAGTAACACTATTGTTTATTATAAGAGCATTAACTGTGCCAGTGGCACTTTTCTAATATGTCATATTCTGTCAAATATTAAATATATTTACCTTGAGACTAAATGATGAGGCGCCCACTCATATGAATGAGTAGTCACTTACATTTTCAAAAAATACAGATTTCCCATTAGAATTAGTGAGACTACTCAAAAGTAACTGCTTAATGATGTAAATCATCTACAATTTTCCTCTCTTATAAAAAAATAAATGTAAACTTAATCAGTAGCCTAGGAAGATATTATTGGATGGAATTATAAATCGGTTTTGTCACACAAACTCTACTACTACTACTACTACTGGTATTACTACTTCCAAACACCACACAGCAGTGCTTTAAGATCAGTTCAATAAGGAAAGAAATTATCCTTATCCCAATGATCCACAATGGGAAAAACTGCAGAAAAAAGAGATTAAATAACTTTCCCAGTGCCACCCAGAAGACTAATGACAGAAACAGAAATAGAACAGTTTTCTGAAGTCCACTCCACATTCCGTTGCTTTCAAAATAAACAAATTAAAGCTTAGATATTTATCAAATCTTACATCACTGTATAGTAAGGACATATCTTTGGCATGGTTCAGCGCAGGAGTATCATCAGACCCAATATACTGGCCTTTCTCAAGGTTAAATGTTTCTTTGTATTTTAGCTACAAAAGAAAACAAACACAATGTTAATTCCACAGGAGAAATAAATTATCCCAACTAGTCCATCCATTAGAAGCAGATATTCATTTCCTGTTATGTTACCATATCTTCAGTAACGTTGCGTAGTACATCCCAACCGCTATAGTACACAGGCAATGTCATCAGTATGTCACACCACAAAATCCACACAGTGTTCTAGTGAAATTAAACGTACTGATCAGCAAATACAGGTTAGTAGCAACACCAGGAACTCCACTAGCACTATGCAACTAACTGCTGTTCACCAAGAACAGGACACAGTTTTAAACTACTATAAGCAAAATCTATGTAAACTCTAAATAAGGGACATGCTATATTCTTCTACAGGAAAATGCAAAATTATTTTGGCCAGCAATACTGTGTTGTTCATTTATATCACTTCTTACTAAACTTATTTACCCCAGTAAAAGTCTATTATTAATGAAGCATGCATATACACACACACATACATAAGGCTAAACACAGTACAGTTTAGTAAAAGCAATTAAGTCATCTACTAATTCTAGTAATATAACAGTTTCTATTTAAAAAAAAGTACATACATCACTCTGATTGACAGAGTTTATCTTTGCCAAAACAATGTCGGGAGTGTCAACCACACTGGTATAATTGGAAAAGTTATCAAGGGCTTCTTTCGTATATGCTCTCTGCAAAGAGATGAAATATTTTCTTAAACACTGTGCATGAGAAAGAAGAGCTAATCGCATAACTGCTAAAATATTTTCTCTTACCTTATTTATCAGTTCCTGTGCATTCTTAACTTTCCTATGTTCCACTGAATCCAGAGGAATCCAACCACAGCCACGAAGCCATTCCAAATCAGATTTATAAATATTCTAAACCGTAAAAGATAATAAAAAGGGAAAGAAATTATTTAATTCAGGATGACATTTTTCAGTCCTACATAATATGGGCAATATTCTTAGACCAAACTAAGTGGAAATTACATGGTATGTATGTAATATCACTTACATCACTTTGCAGATCATAGGCCTTCCTTGCCTGAATACAGTCATTCTGGTCAGGATGGCACGTCCATTGGTGCAGGTAGTGGCGGTAGTCAATATCGCTGACCAAGCTCTGACATTCCTTTGCTGCTACAACTGACACCATATCCGGAGGGATGTGAATTTTGGACTTTGTTTTGTGATAGTCTGATTTGTACAATCTCTCATTCTGAATCTCGCCTGCGTGCTCAAACCACACCAGTTTTGGATCGTCTCTCATAGTGGCAACTCCAACGTAGTGACCTCTTTGTTTGACGTAGTCAGCTTTGTATTTAAGCTGATGGAGAATGGGGAGAAATATGTATAAAATCAGCACTGATTATATCTGCTCTGTTTTTAACCTACGAACAGCTATGGTTTTGTCAACACAAAGAATAGGGGGCTGTCAACTGCAGTCTTAGCCTTTCAGTACATGACTAGATAAAAATATGACACAAACAGTAATGTTACTTTTTGTATAGTCCTTCCACTTCAAAATATATCATTTTCTAGACTAATATGCTACCATTTTTCAGTAAACAGTATTTTCAACACAAGAGGAAAGCATTGTTAGAAAATGTTTGCTAATAAGTGCATTTAGCCTTACTTTTGTAACAAATTTTTGTAACATTATTTGAGACTGTCTGAAGAGTGGATGCTAATTTAAGGTATTTACATCATACTGTTTGGATAAAAAGAATATTCAAACTAAGAGTCATGTAATAATTTCAACATCCATTATGCAAAAGTTTAAAATGTAGTGCGCGTACCATCTTACATTTTTTCAAGGAGGAAGCCTCCATAATACACCAAAAAGTGAAATCAGAGCTATATATTATAATCATAATATCACTTCAATTATGTAACATTTCTAAAATATAGAAGTCCACCTTAGTTGATTTTGAAAGGACTGTTTCTGGAGAAAGTGAAGGTGGACAGGAGAATCCGACCTTTCAGCACTGCTATCTGTAAAACCCACAATAATAAATATGGCTGAATTGTTTGGAAGACAGTGGACTTCATGGGTCCTGAAAAGTCTACTGGATGTTACCCCTAATGGAAAGCTTTCTACGTCTGTTGTTGAATTTGCAAGGCCTTTAACATTTCCAGGCTCCCAAGCACTTGCCTTCCTAATGAGAAAAATTATTACCTCACTTTGGACATCATTTGAGCGTTTGGCATGAGAGATCTGCACAGTGTCAGGAGGTAAGAGGTAACCAGTGGCTTTTTCTTTCTCCCAACTTTCCTTGTATAAATTCTGTGGAAAATAAAAGTGAGGAGGAATTCAACACTACTATAATGATAATTATTACCATATAAATGTAACCTTTATTAAAGTGTAAGGATAACAAATCCTTCCTTTAGGATGTTCTTAATAAGGCAAGTTTTCTAAATTCCTCAAAAGAGTTATAAATGTGAGTAGAAACTGTCAAGGAGAGATCACGTACCTGATTAAGAATTCTGGCTGCCTCTCGGGCCATATCTAGCTGTGGTGTATCTGTTAGAGTATAATTTGACTTGACCTCATTCCATGCTTTGTGGTATTTGACCTAGAAGAGAGAAAGAAATGACTGCCTTGCAGCACCGTCACAAAATTGGGAAAACATAATATGAAGACCCATATTTTATGCATGAAATAATGTATAAAACCCTGAATTTGTAAGGCTATTAGACATGACACATTAAATATACATCCAAACATGTATTTTTTTAAAAAGCAAATTATACAAGACAAGAAATTACAAACTTTCTCACAGGAAATTTAGAAAACTTGTTCCAAGGCAGCTAGATGGACAGGGAAGAATTTTCAGAAGTCAAAGTTGTGCTACCTGTTCGGTCTACAGGGATGTACAGCCAATAGCCAAGCAAGATGTGTCTGAACCAGGGCAACAGATTTTAAGCTTTTTAAGAGCAAATCCCTTTACTCAGCATGATCTCTATGTGAATGCAGCATTCTAGCATCTTCCAACCATAGATACCTACAGTGAGTCATGTTCCCAAGCACAGAACATGCCCAAATGCGTGCATCATTGTCAATAATCACCAATGATATCAGCCAAGACTGGAAGGGACTGGCTGCAGAACTAGCACTGGCTTTTCACATGTCTAGGAAAGATGTTATTCTGCTTGAGGAGCTTCTCCCTTCATAAGTGATGGAGATGAGCTAGCGAAGTCCTGTGCATCTTTATGTCATACATTCACAGGATTCCCAGAGACTGATCTAGAATTCTTTTGCATTTTTTTTAAAAGATAAAACCAATACCCTTTTAAAGAGAAAATCCTACCATGTAAATACAAAGACCAAGTTAACAGCCCAGAAACATGCTAGCAAACTTACATCACTAAGAATTTCACCACTATTCTTTGCTGTGATATAATCAACTCTGTCCGCCACTGGAGTAAATGGAAGAGTTTCGGCTTTTGTACGGTACTTTCTCTATACAAGAGAAAAGGTGAACAGTCAGATTATACTCGAATATTTTATAGCTAACACAGCAATACTGAATACATAGACAAGACAAGAAAGTTTACATGGAAAGAAAAACTCTCCATACACAATGAATGCTGTGGAAATACTCCAGTTGTATTTTTTATTTAAAAAAATATTGATGCATTTAACCATTAAAAATACTTTAAACTACAAATACGCTTAAGAAAATTTTAGTATTTGAAAAACACTCTGTTACCTCATTCAAGAGATCTCCAGCATGTTTGACATGGTTGATTCCAACTGAATCATTTGGCAACCATCCAATTCCCCGTAGCCATTCTAAATCAGATTTGTAAATAGCCTGGAAAAACAAAATAGGGTCCATGCTGTTAGCTACAGTTCCCTGTACAATCCAGCACGATTCATAAATAACAGCACTTACTTCCACTGGTTAAAAGGAGAGCAGTAATTCCAACATGACCACTATATCTGAACTTATCACACTTCAAAATTGGCAATATATAACAGTGGCATATACTTTGCATTCCTAATAAACAGCAAAGCCAATTCACTGAATTCAGCAGAAGATTCCCACTACTTAGAGCTGAAGCAGACTAAGAAGAGACAAGACAGTAATGAGTTATGCTAAGTTTTCATGTCAACTTACATCACTCTGAAGATCGTAGGCTTTCCTAGCCTGTATGATGTCATTCTGATCTGGAAGACAGATCCACTGATGCAAGTAATGACGGTAATCGACATCACTGACCAAAGACTGACCATGTTTAGCTGCTAGGATAGATAGCATGTCTACTGGTAGGTGGCACTGTGTCTTCCATTTGGCAAAGTGTTTCTTGTATTCTAGTTCACTCTGAACTTTGCCTATGCCAAGGGCAAACTTCATTTTCGTATCTGCTTTTGCGTTTGGAACTCCAACATAATGTCCTTTCTGCTTCTCGTGATCCAGTTTGTATTTATACTGGGGAAAGAGCAAAGATCATCATTACTAGCAGTTACCATGAAATAGCTCTTAAGGCATGTGAAGAGCTAGATGGCTCTTTTGGCACTTACATCACTAGCAATTTCTCTAGAAGCTTTGGCTGCCTTGATTGGGATTGCATCCGCTCTCAAATCACAACTCATCTTCATCTCATCCCAAGCTTCTTTATACAGTTTCTGAAAAGACAGCAAATGTCACACATGCTAACTACTCTGGCATTTGCCATTAAAGAAACACACAGTTTACTGCCATTTGTTTGGTGAAATACTGTGAGAATTTTTTATGCATTACTCCTGCTCCTAGTCATAAATACTGCTGCAAATCTTACTACCTTTCAAACATGAACAGTATCTGCAACACCAGATTTGCAACCTATACTGTGTACAAGGGTGTTTGTAAAAGTTTAGAAAATATATGCCTTGGGCTCTCATCCATTTCAACTATATATATATATATATACACACACACTAATTTTTAAACAGCTGTATGCAAGCATTTATTTTAAAATGCCTAAATACTTCAAGAATACTCAGCAGAGGGAAGGGAATGCTGCAAGCCCTGTATGAGGACAGACTTTAATGACAGTCACGTGACTTAATCCTCAACTTTGTAAGTAACACCTCAGAATGTTAAAATTCACAGGATACACATACTATTCTATAGCAATGTAGAAAATAGAATGATAAGCATACCTGGCTATAATTAGCAGCATTAGTCTTGGCTAGGTTGATTTCAGGTGTGTCTGGCATAATATGGATCATAGTCTTGTCCTTTTCCCAGGCTTCTTTGTACTTTGGCTGTTAAAACAGTTCATTTTATGATATTGTAATTATGGAATTTCACTTGTCGATAACATAAAATCCCATAAATCTCTCCTGAGTTATCATGTCTAAACAGTAAAATGTCTGGAAAAGCATTAAACTTGACTTAAAATACCACTGATCAATTCTATATTTTAGCAGTGAGATTTCTCTTTAACTGTTTAGAGCCTTGAAACAACTTAAGAACATTGTAACGTACAATGCTGACTTGTTCGGCATTCACTTTAGCTAGAAGAACATCTGGAGAATCAACAACACTGGTGTATTTCAGGCTTTCAATAGGTGTACGATACACATTATCACTCAGGAGATCCTGGGCATGCTTCACTCTCTTAACATCCGGAGAGTCATTAGGCAACCAGCCAATTCCACGGAGCCATTCTAGGTCTGACTTATAGACAACCTATATCAGACATGGTCAGAAAAGGAAAACATTGTGTTTAAAATGACTGTCTTAATTATTTTAAACTCTATGAAGCAGTATACGTTTTAGAAAATGTCAAATCAGCTACAGCTAGATTAATCCTTTCACATGCAAGAGATGTTCAGTGTCATAAGTAAAATGTGGGAACCAGGTTTTAAGTAGTTCATTTCTTAAACAATACATTCTAAACCTTATGCAGTTAAATAGGGGGGAAACAACTGAACAGAATTGCTGTTGATGATGATGAGTATTAATATCTTAAAAGAGTCTTCCTGTCCCCTCCAAAATACTTACTCCTCTAGTCACTTCAACAATTTACAAGTCCAAACAAAATACCAAGCTGCCCACCAGGAAATTTGACAAAAAGGAGGAAAAAAATGGTTATAGAGGTAATGGGGACTACAGCTAACTAGCATAACTCCTGAATTGGTATCAGGCAACATTATTTAAGTTTTAATCGAGCAAATCCTTCAGCAAGGAACATGAATCTCACCACCGAATCTAATTATAATCGAAACAGAGGAAGAGTGACTGATGCTGACTGATAAGCAGCAAAACCAAGTCAGGAAATCAGCCGCATGGGCTCCTCCTGCTTTGAAATTGGCCACTAAAGCATCTTACCTGCTATCTTACATAGTTTTGTTGCAATTAAATAAATTTCCAAGTCTACACAGATAAACAGGAGCAATAAAACCACTTGATCCCAAAGTAGCAAACAGATGCTATTTCATAAGTCCCATCGAAGTAACACAGACAAAACCTTCGTCCTCTCCAAATAACAATATTCCAAAAGCATATGTAACATAGCAGATACCAACTAAAGGTTTTATAAACTTTAGAGGTAATACCAATACTTTTTAAAGGATGAAAATAACAGGAAATAGCAGTAACATGAAAAACTGAGGAAAACAGTCAAAAGATAAATCCTTTGTGACTGTATAATATCAAACCATCAAAACAAGAATATAAAACATTAAAAAACAACAGCAGTAACTACCGCATCTGTACACATACGCACATCACTCTGTAGGTCGTAGGCCTTCCTTGCATGGATCA